AGGACTTGGGGGAGGTGGTTGATGAGAAACTGAACATAAGCAAGCAGTGTGCATTTGCAGCCCAGAAAGCCAACTGCATCCTGGGCTGTATCAAAAGAAGCACGACCAGCAGGGCAAAGGAGGTGATCCTGCCCCTCTACTCTGCTCTTGTGAGACCTCACTTGGAGCATTGTGTCCAGTTCTGGTGTCCTCAAAAGGACATGGAGCTGCTGGAGCAAGTCCAGAGGAGGGCCACGAGGATGATAAGAGGACTGGAGCACCTCCCGTATGAAGACAGGCTGAGAAAGCTGGGGCTGTTCAGCCTGGAAAAGACTGCATGGAGACCTCATAGCAGCCTTCCAGTATCTGAAGGGGGCCTACAAGGATGCTGGGGAGGGACTCTTCATTAGGGACTGTAGTGGTAGCACAACGGGTAATGGCTTTAAACTTAAACAGGGGAACTTTAGGTTAGATCTAAGGAAGAAGTTCTTTACAGTGAGGGTGGTGAGGCACTGGAATAGGTTGCCCAAGGAAGTTGTGAATGCTCCAACCCTGGCGGTGTTCAAGGCCAGAAGGGACAGAGCCTTGGGCGACATAGTTTAGTGTGTGGTGTCCCTGTTCAAGGCAGGGGGGTTGGAAATAGATGATCTTAAGGTCCTTTCCAACCCTAACTATTCTATGATTCTATGAACATAGGATTCCTTTCCAGATTAGATAGTGCTGAGAAGGAACAAGGTAAGGGGAATGTAGTATTAAATGCAATGTTACCAAATCCCTTTGTTTGTAAGTTTGTGTGAATGGTACCTAAAGGTACTGTTAGGATTGAAAAATAGTTACATGCCAAAAGAGAAAATTTAAATGCTCAGAAGATGCTGAGTTTCATGAGATGGTTAAACTCTGGGGACCAGCACTCCTCTGCAAGACCTGGTAGACTCAGAACACCAAGGATTTGCTGAATTGGTGCAAAGCCACCAACATACACAAGAATCAACAATGTATGGCATAGACTTGCATGAAAAAAGGCAGAGCCTGCTCTGTGCAGATGTTTGAGTGTGTGAGTGAATTGCAGATTAAGTGACTGTGTTGTGCGAACAGTTACCTGTCTTTAACAACGGTTTGATGCTACTAGTAATAGCAGCATAACGAATACAGGCATTCTAATAAACAGTAGCTGTGATCTGTTTCTTACCCCAGATCAGTATTTTATGAAGGGAAGGGAGTTTACAACACAGATACACAAAATACAAATAAGGCAGGAACAAAAATCCATGAAAATTAATGCATAACTTACCAGTGTCAAACTTCACAAATGTTGATCATGGTTTTTGGTAGTATCTGACCAGAGGTCCTGGTAAGTAAAGCTATTTACAAGCCTGCAGCAGATTATATTGAACATCTTGCTGAAGTTTGTCCTAAGAACGAATTATTTTTTTAATCATCTGGTGCTGTGAGACAGTCTCCCCTCTGCCTTCGATACTGGCATTTTTTTCCTAGCACCAGGACTTTTTAGAAAAGTCAGGCTTCTCAAAGTGTTTTTCTGCCTAAGACAGATCTGGAATTACAGTGAATTAGTCTGTGATGTATAATTATACTCTTATGAAATTGTTCTGCTGAGTCTTGGCTGCCTGCAGCTCTAAGAAATGATGACCTTGAAACTGTTATGAGACCACTGAAATGAATTCACTTCAGTAGCTTTCACAGTTCTTTGAGCAAAACAATTCCTGGTCATTCTGGCAAGGACTTACTCTAAATTGTAGTTCCAGAAATGGAAGACATAAAAAAAAAATGAAAATCTAATAGACTAAAGCAGCTAGACAGAGTTTTCCATTTACTCTCAAACCTATCTATAATGGAAAAGGGCTACAGTGAGATTAATGCATTAACTTTTCATTTCTGAATCTGGTTTTGATGCCACTAGAGGACTGAAAATTATTTAACTCCAGATGCTTTGATATATCATTCGTGAACTGGATGACTATTGTTTGTACAGTAAGCAGGCAGCCATATAAAAATCATTCTTAAATGAATTCAGTGGAGCACTCCCACTGGTAAGGGGTTGATCTCTTGAAAAAGATAAAAAATTTACATGCTCTGCTGAATTTGTAAGGGAACATGGCTCTTGCAGAGAGTGGCTAGAGGTCAGGCTTTACATTTATGAGCTATAACTTCTGCTACTACAAATCTTAAGAGGGTTTATATTGGCTCCACTTGTTCATTTACTTTTTGCCATGAGATGCTTGTGCTAGAAATCCACAAAACAAATCTAAACTGAAATCTTGGCTAAAGTAGCATAGCAAAAAATACCATACTGCACTTTGAATGGTCCTCAAGGGCAGTGGAGAACCCTTGTCCCTCCAAGGATGTCACACAGCATGTCAATGTGCACACCCCACAGCCAGGAGGAATTACTGACATCAGCTTTGATGCCTGTTTCTGCTGTGCCTCTGCTGTGCAGCACTGCACACACAGCTCTGGCTCTCAGAAACTGTTTCCAGTGCTTAGTTTAGTCTATGCTGAGTGTAACTGCAAATTAGAGAATCTTTATCTCTTACTCCGCTCAGCATGGAACATTACAGGTCCTGACTGCTCTCTACAACTGAAAGGAGGGTGGAGCCAGAAGGTGGCTGGTCTCTTCTCCCAAGGAACAAGAGATAGGACAAGAGGAAAAGGCCTCAAGCTTCACCAGGGGAGGTTTAGACTGATGTTAGGAACAATTTCTTCCCCAAAAGGGTGGTCAGGCATTGGAACAGGCTGCCCAGGGCAGTGGTGGAGTCACTGTCCTTGGAAGTGCTCACACACCATGTAGATGAGGCCCTTAGTGACAAGGTTCGGTGGTGGACTTGGCAGTGCTGGGGTAATAGCTGGACCTGATGATCTTAAATGTCTTTTCCAAACCAGGTGATTCCCTGATTCTATGATACCTCTTGATACTTATTAAAATTGCTGTAAATGACCTCTTCCAGGTTGCTGGAAAATTAGAGACCAATGCATGCAGAAAGATTTACTGAGTGTTATTAGGTTGCTACTACTTAACCTTACTGCTGTTACTGCCCTGCTGCCCAGAACTACTGGCACACCATTTAGGTAAGTGTTGCTGCTTGACTAATTCACATAAGAAGAGATAAGTAACTGGATAAATTCAGTCCTGACAACTTCATTTCACCAAGAACACTAGGTTGCTCCAAGCCCTGTCCAACCTGTCCTTGAACACAGCCAGGGATAGGGCAGCCACAGCTTCTCTGGGTAACCTGTACCAGGGCCTCAGCACCCTCACAGGGAAGAACTTCTGCCTAAGATCTCATCTCAATCTCCCCTCTGTCAGGTTAAAGCCATTCCCCTTGTCCTGTTCCTACAGCCCCTTATCCAAAGTCCCTCTCCAGCTTTCTTGTGGCCCCTTTAGGCACTGGAGCTGCTCTAAGGTCTCCTGGAGTCTTCTCTTCTCCATGCTGAACAAGCCCAGCTCTCTCAGCTGGTCTCTGTATGGCAGGGGTTTGGAACTAGATGATTTTAAAGGTTCCTTCCAACCCAAACTATTCTGTGATTCTATGATTCTGTGAATAAAATGCACATGGTTTAGACCTCAGTGCTGTTGGTGGCTGACTTCTGAGGCACAGCGGTTGCAGAACACCCACCTGATAGTTCACAGCCCAGGAGTTCCATTCTCAATGTGCAGTGCCTTCTGCACACCTGAGGATACAGCCGTATGTACTGTGACTTGATAGGAGGGGTGAAGGAGTTGGCATATGGGGTGTTGTTGTCCACATTGCCACGGAACACCTATGATAAAACAATATATTTATAAAAATGGAGGTTCAGTTCATTTCTGTATCTCAGAAACACCTGCGTTGTTCTTCTGCACATTCCACTGCAAGCCTTCTCCCAAACAGAGGCAGCTTTATAATTTCTAGTTCCCAACATGCAAGTGCCTAAGCAAAACATGCTGACATCAGTTTGCATCGGCACGTGTTTGCCACATGCTCTGAAATGGGACCTCTATCTTGTCACCCCTGGAAACTGAAGCTACTAATGCAACTAAATTATGTCTTCTTTTCTAATTAGTGTGTTAAATAATCCCAATTCAATTTAGCCTACAATTATTTGCGCTGATTCACATTTATCCTTTTCCCTCTGCTTCAAGAACCTGATCCAACTCCCACTGAAGCACACTGCAACCCTCCCACTGATTGAATGGGGAGCTCAGTGAAACCTGTGATCATTCTTCTGTTCACTCCTCACTAACCAGATATACATGTACTTTGTCGTCTTCTCTCATTAAATACCTTTTCCTACAGCATTTTAATTTCCTAATAGAGAAACTATGTCTAATGCTGCAAAGTGCCCTACTTCTATCCTAAGTTAGACAGCAAAGGGATTTTTGCTGCTTTGTATGCACAACTCCATAAAAAAAATAACCGCAAACTGTAAGCATATGCTTCCCTCTGAATTATACCGTTTGTGCCATACGGAGATTAGCATTGATGAATGAGTCCTGAGCTTCTAAGGGTTAACACTAATATTCCAATGTAATAAAAATAAATTGAAATGGAGGAATGAGTAATTACTGGTAAACTAATTAAAATGAAAATCAGTTAAGTGTAATAAACAGGATTATTCTAGCCTTGGGACATAGTATTTATACTACCACCAATTAAAGTATAAGAAATTTTTAGCAGACAATGTGCAAATTTATTGATGGGGGTTTTTTTCAGAGAAAAATAATAGCAAGGCAACCTATATCACAGTATCAGGCAATTATGCTTATTGACTAGAGATACCTCATACTTCTGAAGGCAACCAAACCACAGGACATTTTCACATAAAAATGCCTTGATCTTACCATATCTTCATTTGTGCCTTTTACTTTGTACATTGCCCATGACTTCCCATCATTACTGTATGCCATTTTGTAAGATTTTACATATTCTGGACTTCCAATCCTCTTGGCACCTTGAGTTATAACTCCAGTGACTCGCATCTTCTTCTGCAGGTTTATCTGAAATAACAGTTCAATGTTATCACTAACCATTTAAAGGACACAATTCTGATTCTTGATTCCTTTGATTATTTTATTTATTTAACTGAAAGGAAAAAATGTAGCTGTAGCACTTAAATTACTATCTTTTCTCTTGCATTAATTCTTTTTACCTTTCATTCATTTCACGTACCTGTTCATGTACATAAATAAATGAACCTCTCCCTGAACTGAAAGCAAGTACTATGCTATGTCTTCATGTGTACACACACACACACACACACATATACATATATTACTGATATATAGGATATTACTGGTGTACTACTGGGATATAGCATATTACTGGTATATAGGATTACTGCTATATATTTCCTTCCTAAAAAGGAAATGCAACAGTGTGATGACAATATAAATAATGCATTAAAATACATAATTAGCACTTGCCTCCTTCAAATGAATCTTATCTCTGCTGCCCAGTTAATGGTGCTGACCCACTGCAATGCACACTATTTGGAATAGCGTCCCCCATACAGGAATATGGGGAGTAACAGACATATCAGCTCTCTGCTGTCCAAATACTTAAATCACTTTATTCTTTACAGTGTAGTCTCAGGATTTTCTCTCACTTGGTAATGTAATCTAGCCTCTTAAGGACGCAAGATGGTCAAACTTCAGTATTTCAATATCTTACTGCGTACACATGGCAAAGTGGAAGAAAGAGTTTTACTGTTCTTTTGAAGGAGCCTAGGTATTTCTCTGCTACTTATCTGAAATATTTGGGTTTATGATATTTTTCCTTTTGAGGCAAAAGAAATTTCAGTATAGTTTTACCACAGCTCTCCCTATAAGAAATTAATAAACACTCGTACACCTTTAACATAACAATGGGTATTTTAGAGTATCATACCCATTAAGAGAGGAGAAGCTGCCTATAAAAACTTAGATTTTTTTTCAGGATCTTTATATCTATATCTATATCTATATCTATCTATCTATCTATCTATCTATCTGTATCTATATATATCAAATATTCCAAGAAAACTCATAAAAATTTGCAACTGCAATTGGGAAAATGGACTTACACCAGGAATTTACACATGTACATATCAGAAGAGATTCAGGCCTTTTCACAGTCTTGGGAAACTTTCTTTTCCCCATCCCAGAGAAAAAAAAAGACACATATTTGCAAGATAACAGCTCCAAAGGTTAATAATAAAGTGAACACCATCTCTGAAACAAATTAGAAAGCATAGTCAAACAGAAACCACCTACTGATTATTTGGCTTTTGCACATACTGACTAGTTGTATTGTCACATATCACTGTTTGGGAAAAGGAAGATATAATGCAACGCCAGATAAATTTTCTTGGATCCAGTTTCATATGCACCTAATATTCTTACAGTTTCATTCCCAACTTTTCTTTTTTTCAGATAATAATCTTAGCACGGTTTTTTGGATCAGAATTAATATGGCTTTAAGCACTGGATATTATATTCCCACACTGGGTCCTTCCCATGTCCCAGCCTCCATCTCTAATGCACAACAAATCACCCACTGCACTTCAAGAAGTAAAAGAATGACAAAAGACCCACCCAAATACAGTAATCTCTCAAAGAGAGTAAAATATTGAATGCACATACTGTTTAACCAGTGTTCTTTGAGTTTTGGGAGGTAAAAAGCCCGCCTTTTTCCTGTTACGTATTAGCCTGCTTACATAGGCTTGTCAGATATCTGTACAATTTTATTTACGTCTCTGTTTTAACAGACAGAATCTTTCCTTTTAGAGGTTTTCCTGATCAGTATCCATAGTCTCAGTCACAAACTGAGCTTTGGATTTAAGCAGTAATGAGTTTGTTGTAACACAGGATATAAAAAGAGGACACTGTTTTGCAATTAGGTCTACATACTCTGTCAATGTTTGCAGGCAAATCCCAATGAAGGGGGAAAAAGCCACACTTTTCAAATCCCTGCAGCTTGCTTACATACAAAATCCTTGTACGGCTAACATCATGCCTGCAGTAGCTCCTTTCAGTGCATATGGAAATAATTGACACTTTGTGTCTGAGTTCTTTTATGTGTTTTAAATTCTTCAAGTCAGAGCTTATCAAATCTCAAAATATTACAACTGTGCAATGACTGTAACGAAGCAGGTGCTGAAACCTTTCTTTCTTAATATACCTCAGTAGGAAGCAAAGTTTCCCATGTCAAATGTGAACTAGCTCTTTTAACACTAAAAGCACTTTCAAAAGTATTTTTCTGCAGCAATTGTAAAGAAAAACATCTAGGGAAGCTCTTCTTTGTGTATTCAGTCATAGGACATAATGTTCAGAATAAATTCTAATTATATTGGTGACTATGTTTTAAAACAAACAAAGAGGTGAAAGTCACCAGGATAAGAACAGGAGTTTAACGCATCTTTTAATGAAGGTGAAAATGTATTCAGTTATGAAGGACCCCTTATCATTACCCAGAATAACATGAAAATCGAGGATAATACAAGATCAACAATACTTTGAGGGATTTACCTCAGTAATTTAAGTACTAATGCATGATAAAGAACTTGTAAGAAGGGATACTTGCATATAAATTTGAGGAACTTACAGGAGAAAAAAAAAAAAAGGTAATAATCGACCAATCAGTTCTACCCACCCTACTTAAATTTAAGATTATTTTGAAAGTAACAGATTCAGAATTGCTGCTTAGTCCCTGTTCATAAAGCTACATTCAGCCTCCAGCTCAAAGGGGGCTCCTGGGTCCAGTAACTTCCATAGGACTTAATTCACCCAACATACATCTGGGATTTGGCTGCAATGTTCACAGGCAGATCTGAAGATGCCTTTTTGTACAACCTCATGGCACAAAGCATTTTATGAATTTAGGTAAGGTGACATTTAACACCTACTAGTAATGGAATCTGCCTCAAACAGGTTTTTCATTTCAATGAGGAAGTTTTCTGGGGTGAGAATAAATTATGTACGCTGGAGCACTCAGGTAAAACTGCATGTAAAGGAAAGCCAGTAGTCTGACATCAATTCTTTTAAATATGATTTCTTTAAGAAATAGATTATGTCTACTAAATGAACAGTGGATGATGCAAAGCCACCATGCTGATAGGCCAGGTTGGATGGGGCTTGGAGTAACTTGGTCTAGTGGAAAGTGTCCCTGCCCATGGTAGGATGTTAGAACTGGCTGAGCTTTAAGGTTCCTTCCAACCCAAACCAGTCTGTGCTTCTATGATGCTATGATAGTGCAAACAGGGCAGCTAGAATACAGGCATGGCAGTCAACTCGAGTTAATAGACAGTGTCAAGGGATGAGGTATACAATACCTCAGAGTCAGGGCTGTATACACTCTTGAAGTCTGAATTCATGTACCATCAGTCACTTGATGCCTTCTATACTATATCATATAGCCAAACCCCCATAAAAAGTCAATCGTTTGAGGCATACTTCCTCTAGTGTGATGTATGCCCAAGAACTAGGGAATAAAATCAACCCTGTCAGTTTAAAAAGTTACCAGCAGTCCTTGAAATTTCCTTTAACCTTGTTCCTTTCAACTACCACAATCATCATGACTCCATGATTAGGCCACTTTTATCATCACAAGCAAGGTCATGTCCTCTTTCAACAGAAGAGAAAGAAGTAACCAGCATGCTATGTTTCCTGCTTTCAGCACTGATTCTTAAGGTGTTATTATCTATTGAACAATTTTTACTGGTGTGCTAATGTTTTTGACTCCAGTGACTCACACAGATCTGTTTTATGATGTCGAATCACTCAGTTGTCTACACTGATAAAGATGTAGCCAGTCAAGATTTTACAGGAAATTGAAAAAATGCGTATCAGAAAGGAAAAAAACCCCCAAAACCTGAGTATTTTCCCAAGAGCAAATGGCAATACGAACAAGGTAATTTTATGAGTTCCCATAGATTGTACATTGTATCATTTTCAAAGGTAATTCAGAACTAGTCTAGCACCATATGCATGGTGTTTGTGCAGCTTCACTTTTAGGTGTGAACACATGCAGGATCATAACACTGGAGTGAACTGCTTCAAGCTTGTTTTCCGTAAGCAGTCCAAAGGGTTCCACAAAACAAAAATAACATACCAGCATGCTTAACAGATGCTAGAACTTCAGAAAAAGACTAAATGCACAATCAGAATATGTCAAAGTAACAGAACAGCAGAGATTAGGGACAGCACCAGTGGAAGAAGTTCATATTCTTCTTTAATTTCTGATCAAATATTAGTTTATTCAGTATTATGCAGAAGCTACGTACTTGACAAAACAGATAAAAGAATCAATGCATCTGTCTCATCTACATTATTACATTTAGGAGAGGAGAAGACTGATCAGAAGATGGAGAGACTTTAGGAAGACACCATATAAGATGCTCCTGGCCAGAATATATAACCATATTCCCATCATTTGTTATTGCACTATTAGCAATAACACCACTAACATTTCAAACATAAAAGACTTGTCTGAAATACACCTGAAGAGCAAGCTTCCAGGAAGTGTCCAGATTAAAGTCTTCACAAAACATCGGGTCCTGGAGACCGTAAATGTAGTTTTACATCAGCCTTCATTCATAAACAGAAATGTACTTTATGGAGAACTATGGTGTTTACCTATTTCACTTATGAGATACAATAGCATTGCTAGAAATTATTTCCCATATTTTCTTGCACAAAGTATATATATTTTTACTAATACTTACTATTACTCTTATAAAAATAGGGTTGAATAAGGGATCAAGGTTATACCGACATTTGAAGATTTATTACAGCAACCCTTCCCTGCTGATTTTATCAGGTTTTGAAAGATCGAAATGTAAGTTTTTTATCCTTTTTTTTAAAGTCATAGTTCTAATAAATCTAGATAGAATGAACCCAGAGAAATATTTTATGATGAAAAATAGGGACACTTGCCAATGGAAATGTTCGTCGTAAACTCAGGAAAAGAGTAACCTCACAGTTTCCTCAATACTGGGAAATTTAGAGAACCTGAAAACTCC